CCAGTTTGATCCTCGCAGCCCTTTGTTGGCTCGTTCTACAGCTAGTAACTGCGTGAACGAGGTGTCAGGCACTATCCTGGGTACTGGAGTGAGAATCATTAACAGGTCTGACGCAGTCACTGTCCTTGCCCTTGTTTTATGGGGTCTGGGACCAGACTGGTGGTCGGGGGACCTGCCCAGTCATGCATTATGGGTGAGTGGCGAAGAACAGAGCGGAACCCAGTGCTCTACCTGCGGTTGCAGGGCAGCATGATGTGGGATGCTGAGGCCAGACTGACTGGATTCGTGGTTTCTGGAGTTAAATTGGGGCTCTCTCCATCACCCACTCCACATACATTACTGGGCTGCTGTGTGCTTCTGTTCACTTACAAATATGCGTATACTTAGAGGACGCGCCTCAAGGCTTGAGGATTTCCAGGACAAACTCTTAACCTGGAGCTTGCCGTGGAGTAAGAGCCCAACCAGTTCTGTGGTTACATTATTGCATCATTGGGACCCACTGAATGGCAGTGAGCTTGGGGGACCATGTCTCCCTGGCCAGGGACTGAGGTCCACAATAGAAGTCAGAAACCTTCTCTTACTCCTCTTGTGTTATGTCAGTGTTCACCATCGAGCCTGGCGCGTGGCAAGAACTCAAAAGATGCTTGGTGAGTTCAGGTTTGGATGACCCAACACTCAGGGTAAACGTGGTCTGGTTTGTGCTAGTTTATGACTCTGTGAGTGAACATTTTTTGCATGTTGCTGCCCACACGTGAAACTGTTCCTACAGATCAGCGAGGAAGCACAAGCTAGCCCATGGTTACCTTGCTGATGGTGCAATGCAGCACAGTTTGAGTTGTATGGGAGTCTAGTAAGAATGCTACTTTTCATTTTCATGGGATGGGCTCATGCGACTTAGCGCTTCCAAAAGCTTCCTCCCTGCAGGTCCTGCTGGAAGCCAAGGCCCCTGCTTTTCCTGTAGGAAAGGGATGTGTCACCAGCGCAGTGAGATCCTGCCCCTACCTGGAGCCCATCATTTCTAATGGACTTAAGGACTAAGGAGCTGGTGCCTTTAAATCCCACAGAAAGAGAAGAAAAAGCACTTTCGTTTCAGCCCATGTTCTCCATTAGACACCCTTCAGGTGTTAGCAATATTATGCCACAATTTAGTTATCCATTAAAGCCAGGTAATAATAAGTACACAAAGGTATTTGGAGCCTATTGATGTTAATGAAAGAGATCCATCTAATTCAGAATGTGTGTGTGGGGAGCTCCTTGGAGATGGAATAGGCCCCAAGGTTAGCCTCTAATGGCCTTCTTGATGGTAGACCCCACCAGTACTCAATTTTGCATGACCGTCTTTATGACATCTCTGGAATTTTGACGCGCAGACTCACGCTTCATACAGAAGCCCGTTTTCCTCCTTCCCTCCTGAACCCCTCCCAACATTCCCAATTCAGAAACAACGGGGAAGTGGCCAGCAATTAAGTAAGATCCTTGCACCTGAACAAACACTTTTTGGATCCTGACCGGATTGGGCTGGATTAGCAGAAAGCCCAAGGCTCAGGATTACGGCAGTGATCCTAGAAGGATTTCTAGGGCTGTCTCCCCTCTCCTCTTCCCCCTTCTCCCTTCACTGGGTGTCTCAACCACATCGCTCTACCCTAACCTAGAAAGGACAGTCACGACAGAAGACAAGTGAGGTGGCTTTCTTTCCCAGATGCCCCTCGGGGCCTCTCTAGGGGTCCTCTGTGGACACGACCATTCCTGGCTGGATGAACCCTACCGTCAGCGTGGGGACTTCTGGGGCGGAGCTCTGTCTAGTTACCACAGTCACCCATCCTTTTCTATCCAACATGAGCTCCTAAATTTTGTTGCTTCCTCCCTCTCCCACTTCCACTCTCATTCTTTAGAGGAAAAAGCAAAAAAGCACTGCCATACAGAAATAGAATGGCCACCCTGCCATTTCTGGGAACCAGCACCTCCGATCATGTATGGGGGGAACCCACCTCTCCCACGGCTGCTGGATCAGGTCCCACGATGCACACTGCATCCTCAAAAGGAGAATCACCTGTACCTGGGGTTCCCAGTGGAACACAGCCTGACCGACTCCACAGAGTCAGCAGATAAGCAGGCTGAGTCGTGAAGCCGGCAGGTGTGATTGCACATGAGCTAGAGCTAATGGACATGTGCAGCATCTGATTTAATACAGGTGACAGCCGTGTCCAAGAGGCCCAAGGTGACGTGTATTATGAGTAGATGGTCGCCCCCTGCCTGGGCCACCTACCCCCATTCCCCTATGGGCAACGTGCAGCCCCTCTTTGGAAGAGACTAGGAGAGAGACAGGGAGGCCCAATGTTGGCATGAGACTGGCTCTGAATTTCATGCCACTGGCCAAGGGCCATAGAAGGCACCTGAGTGTCTCCATTGCTATTTCCAACGGGGGGCCATCTGGTACCATGAACTTCACCACGCTGCGCAGGACAGCGACAGAGAAGCTGGGAGGCCGAGGGAGGCAGAAAACAGTGATCATCACCAAAGCAACTTGAAGCGCTCGGGAGTTGCGGAAGGCCCCCCGCCCCGTGGGTGCCTGCCCTGCCAAATGCCATCTGTGACGACACAGCATCCTTCCCCTGCTCGATTCCAGGGCCAGGCCAGGAGCCCGCTCGACAGCCCACCTGAGCCTACTGGGCAAAGAGACGCCAGCCCTTAAAGCCCTGGAGCCTATCCTGCCTCAGACGCCCCTCCACAGACACACCATCAATGGAGAAGGAGCTGGAAGGGAAGACCGCAAACAAATGGAACCAGGAGCTCGCCAGCCTTCCTCTCCGAGCATCTCTGTGGGTTCGACGTCAGGACCCTGGTGGCGCTGTGGCTTAGGCGGTGGACTGCTGACCCACCAACCACTCTCTCCGAGGGAGAGAGAGGAGGCCATTTGCTCCTGATCAGATTGGCTGTCTGGTAAACTCGGGGCAGTTCGAAGCTGCTGTGAGTCAGACTTGGCGGCCACGGAGTTCATCTTTGTGACAACCAACGGAGACGTGCCCTGGACGCCTCTCACCGCTGCGGAGACGACAAAGGACCACTTGCAGTGAGGGATGGCTTGTCACTACAAAAGAGTGGCTGTGTCCTCGGAGCACGTGTGTGTGTGTGTGTGTGTGTGAGCGCGCTCCTGTGTACCTGCCTTTGTCGCTGTGCTGCGTGCAGCGCAGGTAATGGTGTGTGCAGCGTTCTCGGCAGTGTGTGGTAGGTGACTACGCTCCCCCTTGCATGCGCTGCTCCCTCACATTTCCCTTTAATGCCCTCCTGGATGCGGGCTGCATTAATAATGTTTGCGGGCTGATATCTTTAAAATTAATGAGGTGTTTACTCTGAGCCAAGAAACTCATTGAAATTAAAAGAAGAAGAAGAACTTGCTTCCCCCTCTCTTTCACTAACTAAAAGAAAAGTGGACAGACAGGACACAGGGAAAGCTTTGCTAAAAGCCAAGCAGAATTCTGGGCAAATCCCAAACTCAACTGCTAGAAGGTAGGAGTGTGAGCAGTATACATTGCACCAAAAAGCACGCCAAACAGCTCTTCATTTGTTTCTGACACCGAGCGGCTCTGTGGAGGGCTTCCTAAACTGCTTATCTTTATAGGACTGGACAGCTTCCGCTAGCTCCTTCGCAGTGGCCGATGGGTTCCAACCTCTGATCTTTTGATTGGCAGCCTGGCACTCAAGCCGCAGACAGTGCCAGCAGGGCTCCTTGCACATTATACTTTCATCAGCTTCAAATCATAGCCCCATCTGAGAGGTCCATGACTCCATAAGAGTTTTGCTAAGCCTGGCTGGAAAACTGTATAGGACACCGGGGGACCTGTGCCCCCAGCCTTAGTTTATCTCACTCCCTCATAGTTTATTTCATTCCTTCTTAGAGAGAATTGGAACC